TATAAATGTCAGCTTGTGTGAAAAACTTTTGATTTTCTATTTCACCCTTAATTATTACCATAAAGCCAATATACCCACATATTTTCCTATCTTTCAGACCTACTTGACTTCCAAAATATTAGCTAAATAAACTTTATCTCTATAATTTGGTAGATAAACTTTATCAAAATATTAGCTAGATAAACTTTATCTCTATGACTTGATAGATAAACTTTATCTCTATGACAATATATTCTTTCTTTTCCATTCAATTGTATAAACTCTACTACAATTTTAATACCACATATTGGTAATTTTTAGGTGATGCATATACATATATTTTTTTGTCTTTCCTACTTATTAGACTTCTAAAATATTTTGAATTCCTTTATATATATATATATATATATATATATATGATTATAATACCACATCGGATCAAACTTTCCAGCAAAGTTATCGAACAAGTTTTTTCTTCCATTCACGTTAGAGTTAAAAGTTGGCATGTCATAATCATTTATTTAAAGTCCTATGGTCACATGTTCTTCTGTGACAAACTCAATGAAGTTGAAGTTTGAGTTTTTGGTATAATTGAGGTTAGTTTATCAATTCATCTGTTTTAGTTTATTAATTCCTATGTTTACGTTAATTCCTATGTTCTGTGGCACTTAATTTTTCTAAATTTAATATCAAGCAACTTTATAAGAGATTGGTGTGGCAGGTCAAGTATTTGACATAATAATTGAGATTATTTTATTAATTCTTATATTTTAGTTTATTAAATTGGTGTGGCAGATCAAGTATTCGGCATAGTTGAGGTTAGTTTATTAACTCCTATGGTTTAGTTTATTAATTCCTATGTTTATGCTAAAATTTTCTATTTTAGTGTTTCTTTGTTTTATTACAACCTCTAGTGAATCCAATTTTTCATTGCTCATATAGCTAATATTTTTAAAGTTTGTTCAAATCTTCTATAATATTGACCTAATTATTTTTAATTTTTAAATTGATGGTAAATTCCAACATTTATTATGACCAACAATCAATCCAATAATAAATAAATTAAATCTAAATAAAACCTGAATTGGAAGAAAAACAGCTTGAAAGTCAAAAGCATGACCCATTAATAAAGAAGGTGTCACATAGAAACTATGCAGAAACTACTTAAAGACATGATTTGCTTCTTTTTTTCCTCTTCAATCATTCGCACAGAAAATCTTCTAAAGATTATAATAACAAGTATAGGAGAACAGTAAATAGAAATGCGAATCGTGAATGAGAAAATTATACACAAGAAATCATAGACATGGCTTCAAGGATCACAAATGTGGTTAACATAAAAATACCTAATATAACATGACAAGCACTACATAAAAAATTAATTAACTGAAACCAAAAAAAAAAATTACTACAGAAAAAACATACTAACACTCTAAAAGCACTTACGAATTAGAAGTGACTAAAACCGCAATTTACATAGCTCACATAAACAAATTTATTTAATAAAAATATGTTCATGATCAATGAATAAACAAGAATATAAAATTTTCTAACCAACAACATTCTAAAACTTATCCAATCAAAACCCCAATGCATCAAGAGTTTGCATATAAGATAAAAGCTTATTGCTTGGACTTCTACAATCTAAACCCAAAGAAGCATATGAAGAAGTATAAAATTTCAACCAATTAATAATGACACTTGCAATCCAACTTCATTTTGAGAATCCTTCAGAATGCATGTAAAGAGAGTCGGCTGTTCCAAGAAAACATAGACCCCCTAAGTTTTAAAATTGAAGACATAGATTTTTTGGAAGAGAGAATGGACTATTAAGAGAGCAAGAAAAAAAACTCCAAATTAGAGCTTATTCAAATAATGGGTGTAACTTGGGTGAGTTGAGAAGACTGAGAAGTTGATGTAATTTTTGATTTCATATATCATTTTTTGGGTTCAATTTTTTTTTTTGGGTAGAGGTTATCAATTTTTAGATAAAATATAAAAAATAAATCTTTTGAGGACGTCTATTAACTTGCAATCAAACAATCTCAAACCTATTTGTTAAATTTTGTAAAAGAGTGATTGTAATCGATTCAAACCTTAATACTTTGTAATCAAATTTATTAAACTTAAATTTTCATTGCTCATATTCTATTATAGCATTATAAATAAAAATTGTATGTTCCAAAAATTCGTTATTCTAACTATAAGAAAAAAGACTTAACAAAATAGTTAAAGTTAGGTACCACATTGAAAAAAAAATGTTTATGTACTATGTATCATGTTTTTGAGTATTTTTATATATACCATATTTTTGAGTATTTTTATCATTTATTGGCTAAAATTTATCAAATTTTGAGGTTAAAAAATGCTCCTATTAAGCGCTTTCCGTTTTCAAAATTAAGTAAGAGATTTCATACTTAATATTTTAACTTATTTTTACAAATCATTTAACATATTAAGATATCTTAATTTTAGTTTATCAAACATACTTAATTAATAAGTGTCAATATATTCATTTTAAGTATTGAATTTAGATTAACATAACACATTCTTAGACTTAATTTACTGATTTGCTATAATGGTTGGATAAATATCAAATTTCAATGTTAAATAGGATCTATTATTAATCCAGCAGCTATAGCAAATTAAATCAAAAAATTAAATTTAATAAATTAGTTGGGAATACTATTATTGATTTCAAAAGCAAGAAACACAAAAGTTGTGGTAATTGCATTGGCCGTTCTTTTAGTGGGCCCACCAAAGAAGGATGAATGTTAGACTGTTGATCCATTATTCTGGGCATTTTTACATCTGTCATTCTAAAAGTGTCACATAAAGAGCTCTCTTTAACATATTCTGCTAATAAAAGCTAAAAATCATCACCAATAAGAGTATTAGTTATTATAAATAGGGTAAATTTCATTGACACCCCTTTAAAACTAATTTAAATGCAGGGACACCCCTTATAATTTCTAAAATGTCATTGCATTCCTTTATAGTTTAACATGAGTTTCACATCATACTTCTACGGTCATTGGCGTTATTGACATCAAACAAAATCAGTGACGTCGTGGAATATATTATAGAGAAATATCAATTTTACCCTCAAGTTGACTCTTCAATTTTATTAATCAATTAACATTTAATTTTATTAATTTAAATATTTATTTCATCATATTAACGCTAATTTCATCAATTTAACAACAAATATTTAATTTCACTAAATTTGTATTTTAATTTTTAATTTTTTAAAATTAACATTCAATTTATTTAATTTAGAATTTAGTTTCATCAAAGTAAATCTCAATTTCAACAAATTGATATTTAATTTCATCAATTCAAATATTAATTTCATCACACTAACACTAATTTCATCAATTTCACTGACACTAGTTTCATCAATTTAATTTTGTTTGATAAAACTAAATTTTAAATTAAATAAATTGAATAAAATTTAAAGAAATTAAAATTTTAAAATATTAATTTAATAAAAAAATTAATATTTGAATTAATAATATTAAATATTAATTTGTTGAAATTGAAGTTCAATTTGATGTTAATTTGATGAAACTAAATTCTAAATTAAATTAGAGTGTGTGTAAGATAATTCAAAAACTATAGAGGATTCAAGGGTAAACAATAGGGTTGATCCCTTGAAGGGTAATTCAATAAAATCGCATCTCTAGTTAGTTTGTTAACCCATATAATCTGACAGAGAGTGACAGTGATATTTCAAAAATCATAAAGAGTGTTCCTGAAATTAAGTCAATCTCGAGGAGTGTCAGTGAAATTTACCCTTATAAATATCATAATCCTAGTAACACTATTTGGTACAAAATTTAGACAGTTTTTGTGAGAAAATTTGGCCTCTTATAGGCTACTATATATATATGCTGGATCAAAAAAAAAAAAAAAATAGGCTACTATATATATGGCTCTTGATCAGTACGTTATAGAATTCGATCGGAATCTTTGTATTTTTCTTTTAAGGAGGAAGAGGAAGTATTGGGGTCTTTTTGAGCACACGGCTAATATTTTGGAACACAAACATGCAATCTTACTGTTCTATACAATGCACCACGCAATTACTGAAATAATGTTTTGGAGATTTTGAGCGACCTCATAATACAATTAGAAATTTGAATTCTCAATTTATAAAAATACAACTGTCAATGTTGATTCATTTTTTATTTATTTTGATTTAATGGTACAAAATTCATCTCATTTTTTTTTCTCGTACAAAAACATTAATTTTTTTGCATGACAACTAATGTCAGACAACTCAATCTATACACTCTCTAATGTTAAACATTTCCGTCAATCAACACCTACTCCTTTGTTCATTTTTATTTTAAATTGTGTAATTAAAAAAATTAAATTAAATATTACAAGATTATTATGATATTTGATATTGTATAGTATTTTCAAACATGGGTTATTGCTAGTATATGGATGTAAAAGCTTAAATATATTCATCTCTATTTCGAAAAACTGAAAAAAAAAAGAATAAATTTTCTGAAAGACTTGTGCATCCTTATACATCTGACTGACTAAAGCAATCTTACAATGATTTAGAATAATTTTACTTGCAATAAAATCTACTGAATTCTTTTTTAAAAAAAAAACCCTCTGATCATTAAACACTGGATAGAATCAACCTACAGAAGCCATTATTGTGGAACTTGTAATAAATAATTGAAAAGCAAAGCTACTCCCAATGATAGAAAATGGAAGCAATCACAAAAGCACTTTACAACATTTTTCTAACTAATTTATAGACATAAACAATTGTAGAAATCCAAAGCATAGTTGTCCACTCATGATTTCAAGGCACATTATCATGGTTTGTGGGCATTTTTTTTTTCTTAACTTTATTGCACTAATTTCTACACACAGCTTGTTCTCACATCTCTTTAAGCCCGACAAACATCGTAAATATATAAATACCTAGTCCTACAGTGTGTATCAGAGACCTCTCTCTCTCTCTCTCTGTGCATTACTTTCTGCGAAAGAAAAGGAAAATGGGTGCTCTTGACTATCTCTCCTACTTTTGTACTGTCACCAGCTCAAGAAGCAAACGAAAACCAATGCAGGTACTTATAAGCTCCAAAGTAACAATTCGTCGTCTCTATAATTATTAACAACTGATCTGTTGTGTGTGTTTGTGCATGTGTGTAAAATTTTCTTGAGTTGAAAGTCTTTCTTAATAAATGATTGTGTTCTTGTTTCAGACAGTTGAGATCAAAGTCAAAATGGATTGCGATGGATGTAAAAGAAGGGTCAAGAATGCAGTTAAATCCATGAAAGGTTTCAACATGAATCTCACTCTCTCTCTCTCTCTCATTCTAAATTACTCACATGATAAACGAGCATATGATAAATCCTGAGTTTGTTTCTTTTTAGTTAGTCTCAATCCACTCCGTCTTCAAAAACTAAATTCTATACAGAATTTTTTAAACAGAACGATGTGATTCACAAGTTTTTTTTCTCTTTCTCTTCATTCCAAAGCAAAAGACCAAGGCATGGTATTTGGTAAAACTAATAGTCATATCATTAGGTAATTAGAGTTTTTTGTTTAACATTATGTTTGTGAAGTATAAAGTATTGTTTTTTCTTCATATTAACAAGAACAAATTAATATTTTATTTCAACTCTCTTCCTCAATGGTTTTAGGTGTGAAAACTGTGGAGGTTATCCCAAAAGAAAGCCGGGTGACAGTTAGTGGCTATGTGGATCCAAACAAGGTCTTAAAAAGAGTAAAGAGCACTGGAAAGAGAGCTGAGTTCTGGCCTTATATCCCACACAATCTTGTCTACTATCCTTATGTGTCTCAAGCCTATGACAAGAGAGCACCTTCTGGCTATGTTAGAAATGTTGTGCAGGCTGTTCCTGCTCCAAATGGAACCGAGGAGAAAATCACATATCTCTTCAGCGATGATAACCCTAATGCTTGCTCCATTATGTGAGGAACTGCAAAATCTATTTTAAGTTAGAATTGCATGCATTGTTTTGGACTTGGGATGAGTGAATTTACTTTGAATCAATTACCATTCTATCATAATTTTTCAACTTTATCATCGATGTCTCACTTTTTAAGTTGTTTACCAAACTATTATGCTTATTATAAAAGTATAGTTTAAACCCACAGTTTTTTAATGTAAAAGGGTGTAAAGTTATTATCAAAGTTTAACATTGAAAGTATGGGTTTAAAACCACACTTTCATAGAAACAACAATAGTTTAATAAGTAAATTAGAAAGTAGAGAATAGAGTTGTAAAATCTCTATAGAATGAAAGAAACTCGAATTACTTGGGTGTAATCATCAAGGGGAGCTAAATTGATGGTAAGTTTTTTTTGAAATATCTTCAATATTTTTGGTTAATTATAGTTATCAACTATTGAAAGGTTGATCTTGGAAGTAAGGAAAAAAAAAGGTGTATTGCAATTTGCAATCATTTCTTTGGTCTGAATTTTAAAGTATTGTGAAGGATTATGCGATTGTTTTTAGGCAATCATTTCTTTGGTCTGAATCATTTCTTTACTTTTAAAGTATTGTGAAGTATTGTGACTCCTATTGTCATCTTAAAAGTAAAAAATATTCTTGTCTTAAAGACCAAATGTGGTAAAGAGACGGAGAGGGAAAGGTCAAATCAGCATAAATGCAGCAAGTTGAGATTCAAAAAGAAGAAACAACTTTGCAAGGTTTTGCTTATAGAATAATTCTTATTTTGCCCCCGAATTAAGTAAATGAATGTGATCAATATCACTTGAACGGAGTGGTTTGGGACAACCATATATGACATTGTTAAGACCAAAAGGTACAATTGATATCCTTGTAAAATTTTAGCCTGCCCTTCCCCATTTTTTGTCAACGCGCATCTTCACTCTGCTTCCTCAAACATGAATTATTGTCAAGGGGTAACTACCCCTTTTTTGCTTTTGAAGCTATCCGTGAAAGCGTTGCCACTGTAACTAGCCACACAAACTCGAATATAGGGACACACAAAAGCAATACACGAAATTACTAGGAAAACAATCACAAACCTTATATTGAAGCTCTCTATAATTATAAGGAAACTCAGCTCTGAAGCAGGAACACTCTGCCTCTATAGAATGTCCAAGCACCCCTATTTATACAATGAGCATGACCGATGACACCCCTATCTGCCACAATGTCGTCTTTTTCTCCTAAGTGGCTTCTTCTAGTGTTTTTCGTTTCCACTTGACTAGGTAATGAGTCCTTCTATTCTTCTTATTCATTCCCTTATTCTTGTGGTCAAGGATAGATTCTACTATCTTTGTGAATTGCTTCTTGTTTGTTGGAGGAGCCCGACGCCGAACATATCTGCTAGGATTTTCTGGTTCCTCAATGTACGGCTTCAGGAATGCAACATGAAAAACTGGATGTAGCTGGAGACGACGGGAAGATCCAAACTATTTGCCAATCCTTCTTGTGATAAGAAAAGGACTGTCATAACCCTAGATTAATCCCTTGTGTGCATACTTCTGAGTGATCTTCTTCCAAATTGGTGGAGTAAGTTAGAGCAACACTTTGTCACCAACATCGAACTTTACTTCCGTCCTTTTCTAATTTGCCCATTCTTCATCCTCTTCACTACTTTTGTCAAGTAGTCCTTTGCCTCGTATGTCCACTCTTGATTGACCTGAGCAAAGCGATATGCTGCAGAACATCTCCCTTGAGATTTCTGTTTGGCCAATTCGTGTGGAGTGAAGGGCTGTTGGCTAGTTGCCAACTCGAATGGACCCATCCCGATGGAGGAATTTTGCTACAAATTGTAGCTAAATTGGATAACATCAAGTAAATCTACCCAATTCTGCTGGTTCGCTGTGACGTAGTGCCTCAGATACTCCTCCAACATTGCATTTACCTGCTTAGTCTACCCATCTATCTGCGGATAATTACTGGTGGAGAGGTTGAGTTGTGTGCCCAACAGCTCGAATAAGGCCATCTAATACCGGCAAGTAAATCTAGTATCTTTGTCGCCGACAATATCCAGCGAAAGACCCCAAAGCTTCACAATGTGCTTAAGGAATAGCAAAGCTGTAACTTCAGCAGAACATATTTTTGGAGCAACAATGAAGGTGACATACTTCGAAAATCTGTCAACCACCACAAAGATCGAAGTAAAGTCATTCAGCTTAGGTAACCCATTGATGAAATCTATGGAAACACTCTCCCAAGGTCTGATTGGAATGGGGAGAGGTTTCAAGGTCCTTTTCATCTTCCTCTTTTCTGTCTTGTCCTGATGGCACACCAAACAAGTGCACACATAAAGCTCAACATCTACTTCCATGCGAGGCCAATAATAACTTTTTGCCAATAAGGTAAGGGTCCTATCCTGCCCTGGATGCCCTGACCATCGAGCATCGTAAGTCTCTTTTAACAACATTTGTCGAAGTCCACCCGTCTTTGAAACATAGAACCTCTTTCGTTTGACATAAAACACAACATCCTCTACCCAAAACAACTGAGTCACCCCCTCTTGGACCTTCTTTAGCAACAAGATGGTCACGAGATCAACCTTTGTTTGATCCTGAATTCTTTGGAGCATGTCCCCATCAATCTGGCTAAGTGAGGCCACCATCCCAGCAGCAACTGGGATCTGGTTAAGAGCATCGACAACGTAATTCGCACTGTCAGCTTGTACTATAGAGTAAAGTGGAACTGAGCAAGAAAATCCTGCCATCTTGCTTGTCTTTGTGTCAGCTTCTTCATGGAATTGAAGCAGCTGGTAGCCACATTGCCGATCAGCACTAGGAAATGTTTTCCTAGTAGATAATGCCTCCATGCATTGACATAATGAATGACTGTTGTCATTTCTTTTTCATGCACCGAATACCGCCTCTCAGTATCATTCAACTTCCTGTTTTCAAACGCTATTGGATGAATATTCTGCACCAACACTCCTCTAAGAGCAAATTCTGATGCATCTGTATGGACTTCAAAGAGCAAGTCGAAGTCAGGCAGCCATAAAATTGGGCTATTTGTCACCACTACCTTCAATCAATCGAATGCCTCCTAGAATTCGTAGGACCAGTTCCAAGTCCTATCTTTTCTTAAGAGATCAGTTAAAACAACAACCTTCTTTGAATAGTTCTTTACAAACTTCCGATAATAATTCATCAAACCAAGAAATGAACGCAACTTAATTACCTTAGTACAGACAGTCCAATTTACAATTCCTCAATTTTCTTTGGGTCCATCTTCACTACAGCCGCAGAAATAATGTGCCCTATGAATGAAATTTTTTTTTGAGCAAACTCACATTTTTCCGATTTCAAATAAAGTTGCATTTCCCTCAACTTTCTCAAAGCCAACCTGAGGTGCTCAACATGCTCCTCTAGGGTCTGGCTATAAACAACTATGTCATCCAAATCAATCACTATGAAGTGATCTAAGTATTTTTGGAATACATTAAGTTACAGAACATGGCAGGGGCATTTGTTAAGCCGAAAGGCATAACTAAAAACTCATATGACCCATACCTCGTCACACGAGCTGTCTTCACCTCATCCCCTTCCGCAATTCTGACTTGATAATATCCCAAGCGTAGGTCCATCTTGGTGAAAAAGAATGTTTTCCCCAATCGATCGAACAACTCGTCAACGAGCAGGATTGGATAGTTGTTCTTGACAGTTATTTTGTTAAGGGTCTTGTAATCAACACAAAGTCACAAGGAACCATCCTTCTTCTTTTGAAAAAGGCAGGAGCTCCATATGAAGCTTTAGAAGGTCTAATGAACCCAATGTCCAATAAACCACCAAGCTGTTTCGTTAACTTTGCCAACCCTGATGGAGACATACGATAAGGCGCTTGGGCAGGGCTTTTTGTCCCTGGAATCAACTCGATGGCATGGTCAAGCTCCTGCCTCAGTGGTAATCTAGCTGGCAATTCTTTGGGTGCCACATCCCTAAATTCAACCAACAACTATTGTACTGGTTTAGGGACTTGCAAAGCTTTAGACTCCTCATCCTCAAACAAAATAGCCAAGTATGTTGCTTTTCCTCTTTGCTAGCCATTTTTCATTTGCAAGTTAGATAACATTTTCCCCAAAGATTTGGCCTTGATAAGAGGAAAAAAACAAGAATTGGGCATGTCCATAACAAACATTTCATGTAAGTGAGGTATCACCGACACATTTGCGTTAGTAAGAAATTTCAGCCATAGGATCACTTGAAAATTGTCGAGAGGGACTACCATAGAGTCATACAGTCCTTGCCAATCACCAACTTTTAGTGGGACGTCTTTAGCTACACCACTTACTAGTTTTACTTCTGAATTGATAGCCTTGATCTGGCTAGAGTCTTTCATCAAATCCAAGCCAAGTTGCTGCACTTTTCGATCATAAACAAAGTTATGCATCATGCCTGTATCACCATCGCCTGGCATCCACATTATTCATCTAAATCTGCACGAACATCAATCCTCTCCTTGCCATGTTTTTTTCTTTGCGAATTGCATTAAGGAGCTGCAATGGATTGAATCGTGTAGGCTCGTATGAATGGTTAGTATCCTCAATCATGAGGGCACCGAGTTTCTCCGCCTTGGAAATTTTTTTTGTACGATGAGGGCCATTACAGATGAAATAGCTTGAGTCCGCACCTCCCTTTGACATAGAGGGTTTGTCGGTCTACTTATCTGTATTACCAAACTTCTCAGTCTTCATCTTTTGCTTATCCTTCTTTTGAAACTTGGTTTTCCATTTAGACTCCTTCTCTGCAAGGTTGGCCTGCATCTTGTAATCAACCAACACGTCTATTGCGGACATAGCAGCGAGTAAATCCTTCACCCTTTGCCGGTAAAGTTCAGCCTATGCCCAAGTTTGAAGGCCAAACATGGAGTTGAACAACTTATCTTTCTTTGACATATTTTTAATGTCAAGCATTAGGGATGAGAACTACTTCACGTGCTCCTCACCGTGCTTATATGTAGAAGCTTTCTCAA